CTTAGGACAATAGGTCCAACCCTTCTGGTGGCCCAGACTCAGTGAGGCGAGCCCAGCTGCTCTGCACCAAGACCTCTGGCTTCTCCCCAGCCCTGTGTGCTGCCCTCTCTCTCCTGCCTCAGAGCTGCCGCCCACCCCTTCTGCTATAAATTATTCTTTCCCTCTTCACCCGGCTAACTCCCAACCTACCACCAGCTCACTTCAGACACAGCTTCCCCTAGGAAGACTTCCAGGCACTCTTGAAACCCAACCCCTGACCTGCTCCCTCATCACACTTCTTTTCCCCTTCTGGTGATGTACGTGGTTTTATACCACTGCCCCTGTTAGACTGCCAGCCCTCAGACTGTTTCTGGTTTGCTAACCTCTTAACCCCTGCATCCAGCACAGTATTTAGTCATTTCTATATAGGTACACACTGCTCTTTCACTACGGAAAATCAACCACTGATTTAAAATTTCCAGTGATGCAGAATCAGATGGTAACTTACCGGAGTTACTTTGAAGTCCAACGATGAAGTTTCCAAAGTGTTCTCGAATCGTTCCACCTGAAAAACAAAATGGAAGATTACTTTGTGGAGACTGGAGCTGTGAAAACCAAGGCAATACCTCACTACATTCTAGGCAACTTGTGTGTCTACTTCCTTCATGGCACCTTTTGCCATCTGCAAGTCTACTGATGGGTCATTCGGTTCAGCACCTCCCTCTCCACCGGAACATGCACTCCAGGACTCTGCTCCGCCAGCGTCTCTGGAGTGGCTTGCAGGTGGGTATGCCCTGTGTGTGTCGGGTGAATGGATGATTCAATTTCCCAGGCAGTTTCTAAGCACTGGTGATTAACACATACTCCCCAACTACAGGATTTCCAAAGGGGAACTCCAAGCGACACACTCGGCACTCCTCCAATTTCACCTGGTAGCAATCCTCTTAAGGTAACACTACCTGGGTACTTTCTCCTAGCCCACTTTATTAGAAACAAACATCTAACTTGGTCATTTGCTCTCTTTACTGTACGCCAAACAAAAGAAAAATCATCTCTAAGTTTACTAAATTTGAAGCCCTTTTTAAGTGAAACACAGAAAGACCACTCCCAAATATTTTATTCTTTTTTCCTTTTCTAGATTTGAACCCATGACCTAGATGCCACCTTACCCAGAAAGTGCACACTCTGAAAACAGTTAGCACACAGCAGTGGCAGGCTGAGAAAGGAGACAAACCAGTTGCTCTGTGCTACACTAGGGCAAACGACGGTCAATTTGGAGGTGACTTTTGACCCTAAGGTTTAAGGTTCAGTCCTACAGGGGCATTTCCACCCCCAAGCTGAAAGCTGCAATGCCTTAAGGAAATAAAACAACCCACGGGGCACCTGACATCAGTCAGATTAAAAGGACAATCAGATCGAAGACAGTGACTGCTTGTAGTATTTGAACAGCCCTACCAGAGAGCTCTACACCAAAACACCAGAATTGAAAAGCTGGGAAAACCCTAACAAAGCAAAGATCCTCCTTCACATACAAGGATGCTCACAGTTGGTCCCTTTGGGGAGCAGGGTTGGCACTTGTCTGCACTGTACATCTTTTAATATAACTGCCTAACCTTGCTTAAAACAACGTTAAGAGGCCGGGCATGATGGCTCCGCCTGGAATTCCAGTACTTTGGGTGAATGGATTCCTTGAGGTCAGGAGTTTGGGACCAGCTTGGCCAACATGATGAAACCCCATCTCTACCAAAAATAAAAAAAGTTAACTTGGTGGCCTGGCACGGTGGCTCACATCTGTAATCCCAGCACTTTGGGAGGCTGAGGTAGGCAGATCACAAGGTCAGGAGATGAAAATATCCTGGCCCAATGTGGTGAAACCCCAACTCCACTAAAAATACAAAAACATTAGCTGGGCGTGGTGGCACAGACCTGTAGTCCCAGCTACTAAGGAGGCTGACACAGGAGAATCGCTTAAACCCAAGAGGTAGAGGATTCAGTGAGCCGAGATCACGCCACTGCACTCCAGCCTAACAACAGAGTGAGATTCCGTCTCAAAAAAAAAAAAAAACTGGCCAGGTGTGGTCGCACACACCTGTAATTCTGACTACCCAGGAGGCTGAGGCAGGAGAATTGCTTGAACCCAGGAGGTGGAGGTTGCATGTAGCGAGCTGAGATCTTGCCACTACACTATAGCCTAAGCAGCAACAGAGCAAGACTCTGACTCAACACACACACATACACACACATACACCACACACACACACACACACACACACACACACACACACACACACACACAGAGAGAGAGAGAACACATTAACAGGAATATCTACATGATGAGATTAGAAACCGTTTCTGGGCCGGGCGCGGTGGCTCAAGCCTGTAATCCCAGCACTTTGGGAGGCCGAGGCGGGTGGATCACGAGGTCAAGAGATCGAGACCGTCCTGGTCAATATGGTGAAACCCCGTCTCTACTAAAAATACAAAAAAATGTAGCTGGGCATGGTGGCACATGCCTGTAATCCGAGCTACTCAGGAGGCTGAGGCAGGAGAATTGCCTGAACCCAGGAGGAGGAGGTTACGGTGAGCCGAGATCGCGCCATTGCACCCCAGCCTGGGTAACAAGGGCGAAACTCCGTCTCAAAAAAAAAAAAGAAACTGTTTCTGAGCCGGGGAGTGGTGGCTACCTCTAAAAAATAAAAATTTTTTTTTTTTTTTTTTTAATTAGCTGGAGATGGTGGTTTGCTGTGTAGTCTCAGGTATGCAGGATTGCTTGAACCTGGGAGGTTGAGGCTGCATTGAGTTATGATCACACCACTGCACTCCAGCCTGCATAGCCTGTTGTCTCTGAATAAATAAACAAACCATTTCTGTTTCTTAAAACTATTTTTTAAGAGAAAAAAACTAGCTGGGCACTCTGGCCTGTGCCAATAATCCCAGCTACTCAGGAGAATAAGTCAGGAGGATCTCTGGAGCCCAAGAGTTGAAGGCTGCCCTGGGTAACAGTGAGCTCCCATCTCAGAAAAGTAAAATCTTTTTAGTATGTCAGAGCTTTCTATTTTATGACTTATCACACGCTTTGAAAGTCTCTCCCAGACAATTATAAAAACATTCCCTAGTACTACAGAAAAGCTGTTAATCCCTGACCTACGCAGCATTTAAATGGACACGGTTCAACACCAGGGTTTAGACACCGAACTATGTGTACATGGTGATTTAGCTGTGTTCTCCCTCACAGGAGCAGCACACAAGCGCCAGGGTGCCTCGGGGCTACGGGCACATCCCGCCGTGTCTCCAAGTTACCTACAGCATGCTCTGGGAGCTGAGCCGGGACTTGTCTCAGCTGTGCAGCCACGTATTCTTTACTATCACAAAAGGAATCGAGCATGCCGTCCGCGCCATCCTCCCCAAACTCTGGAGCACCGCTATTCTCCACTTCGGTCTCATCTAGCACACTCATGTCCATCATGCCCATATTCTGCAGGTTCTCCAGACTTGCTTCCATGTCCTCCTGTAAAGAGGAAGAAGAGCCATCAAGGACCACCTGGACCAGGACGCAGAGCTGCTGCTTGTCATCTCCGTCCTGGCGTCACTTACCTGCCCATCTCTGGAATCGTCCTCCAGGCCGTTATCTTCTGCGCCTTCCTCCTCCATCTTCAGTCCTAATTACAGAGTAACTGTTCAGTCAGATAGCACTCAAGTTCTACCTCATAGTTTATGCAGAATAGATTTCAGTCTTAGAACACATTACAAGAGAAACTAAAAGTCTCCCCCTCCTGTCATGCATAATTTTGTCTCAATTGGTGTTCTAAGTAAGCCATCAACAGGGACATGAAAATCTAGGATCCCTGCTAGATTATCAGAGTAATCTGATTTTCTGTAAAATTCTGAAAGTTTCCAAATATTTCAAAAACACTCCAAACCTAAGAAAAAGATCACAAAAAAATGAGCAAAGGATAAAAACAGGCATTTTCAACAAACCAACAAAAAAATGCAATACCCATCTAGTAACCAAAGAATCCAACATAAAATAACATACTGAGTGACTGATCTGCTGGCTCTCCCTATATTCCACCCATCTCAAATAGGCCTTTGGCATTCTTCAACTCAAGAACCCTTTTTTTTTTCCCCAAGCCAAAAAGGCAAAGGCTGCCATAAAGTCAAGAATCATCTTGGGTTTTGTGAGCACAAAATATTTGGTAGAATTCCGCCAGGTACTGCGAAAGGAAGCTGGAGGGAATCAAGGGTGGAAACCTTGAGAATAAACTTGAGTCTTTGTAGGTATCAAAAACCTTAAAAATGTGCATACCCTTTGTTCCAGGAATTTGAGTCTTAGTATGTCTGATAAGGAGTCTGAAACATAGATATCTGTCCTATTATACCTGCTAAACACCCAAAAGGGAAACAAATTATGGCACATTTTCATTCAGATGTGGTTGACAACCAGGAGGAACGATTGGCAATGTCTGGAGGCATTCTTGGCTGTCAAGACTTGGAGGAATGCTACTGATGCTGGTCACGACCCTACAATGCACAGGATACTCTCCAACCACAGAGAATTATTTGCCCAAAGTGTCAAGAGTGCCAACGCTGAGAAACCTGTGGGACACCATCCGATGTCTCACGATATTTTTAAAGTTTATGCTTTTAAAGAATATTTAATGAAACAGAAAAAAAATGCCTCGTGTGGGCACAGTGGTTCATGCCTGTAATCCCAGCATTTGGGGAGGCCAAGGCAGGTGGATTGCTTGAGTCCAGGAGTTAAGAGGCCAGCTCAGGCCACACAGTGAGACCTCATCTCCACAAAAAATAAAAAATTAGCCAGGCGTGGTGTTATGCACCTGTAGTCCCAACTACTGGCGAGGATACTCTAACCCTGGAGGCTTAAGGCTGCAGTGATCATGCCACTGCACTCCAGCTGCGCAACAGAGTGAGACGGTATCTCTCTCTCACACACACCCACAAAGAAAACTCAAACATTAAAAAAAGATCTACTGTTCTTTTTTAATTTTATTTTTTATTTAGTCTCCACAGACTGTCAAAAACTGCCAATGCCGTCTATACTTCAAGTCATCTTGGCGGGTAATGGGAAAAGTCTTCCATTAGCAATGATCACGCCTTGGATAAACTTCATTGGCTACAATACTGCCACTGCGCAAAGCTGAAATATGTACTTTTCTTAAAAGCTAGTGTCTACCTGTATACATGCAAGTGTCAGGATATGTTTATAAAATCAAGGTGGCTATGGCCAAGATAATCATCAACAGTAGCTAAAATACTCAGGTAAGATTAGAGAGAATTTTATTTTCACATGCACACTTTTTACATTTTCTAAATTATCTGAAAACTGAACATGGAAAAACCTGCAGTCTATATCTCAAGTCTCGCTCACCACTGTTATCAATAATCCCTCAAGAAATGCAGTTTAATTACATGCCACGCACTGTTAGCTTTTTCCAGTCTATCGTTTAAGAAGCCTAACAACGCTAGCCAGTTTTATTATCTGCATTTGACACATGAGAATCTGGTTGCACTCCAAAGCTGGCACTCCGAAACTCAGCTGTCCCACTTCCATTATATCTAAATACAGCATATCCTTTTGAAACACGTTGTCTACAAATGTTTGGTAATTGCACCCAATTTCTAGGCCCCTAAATAGTAGCCTGCAGTGCCCACACAGGACGGAAACAGGAGAAATGCTGACCGAAAAGCCAACTCGGCGCAAGCAGGCGACACCCTGACCCCAGCACCTGGCCTGGGCCAATGAAAAGTTGCCACTGTCAGGGACACAGATATAAGAAAATCCAACTTTGGCCAGGCGTGGTGGCTCACACCCGTAATTCAAGTACTTTGGAGGCCAAGACGGGTGGATCACCTGAGGTCGGGAGTTCAAGACCAGCCTGACCAACATGGTGAAACCCCGTCTTATTCTAAAAAAAAGAAAAAATAATAGAAAATCCAACTTTAATCCCACATAGCATCTAAAACTTAAAATTTTAATCAAAGTTTTACTTTTTTGTAAAACCCACCTACAATGTTGCCCAGGACTCCTCACCCAGGTGAAGACTCTTCCGCTGGTTTATAGTGAGGATGCTTTCCCTCAACAAGTCTGGCTACTTCGGCTTTGGCACGGAAGCAGTTACCAGTGAGTTCCCAGAGTGAGCCCAACTTCGGACTCCTTGAACGCTGCTGCACAGTGCTCAAAACAGACCTCAACTGGTTAACTCCTCCTGACCTAACAGTTGTGTGGAATCACAGGACCTAACTGTAACCACAAAGTCATACAGCTCTGGCGCTTTATACATCAGCCATGTGCCCTGACACCTCTAGAGAACATGAGCGGCTCATGGCGGAAGACTGGGCCCTGAGGGGGCTGAGCTCTGCCTGAAGACCTGTGCTCTCTCTGGGCTTGGCGACTTCTCTGAAGAAGGAATGGGAAGGGACCAGAAGCCCTTCTAATCCTCAGCAGAGCTGAGGCTACAAATGTTCTTTTTATAGCAATGAAAGAATTATCACGCAAGCTTTCCTGACAAAACACTAACTCCAAGTAGTTTTGAACTGACCTAAGCTTTAATCTAGACATTCAGGCAGGTCTTCAAAGCACTCAGCTAAAGTTTAGTTTTTCTAATGATGCAAAGATCATTAAAAATGATCCCTGTTAGGCCAGATGCAGTGGCTCTCACCTGTAATCCCAGCACTTTGGGAGGCCAACGTTGGAGGATCACTTGAGGCCAGGGGTTCTACACCAGCCTGGCCAACATAGTGAAACCTCATTTCTATAAAAAAATACAAAAAATTGGCCGGGCGCGGTGGCTCAAGCTTGTAATCCCAGCACTTTGGGAGGCCGAGGCGGGCGGATCACGAGGTCGAGAGATCTAGACCATCCTGGTCAACATGGTGAAACCCCGTCTCTACTAAAAATACAAAAAATTAGCTGGGCATGGTGGTGCGTGCCTGTAATCCCAGCTACTCAGGAGGCTGAGGCAGGAGAATTGCCTGAACCCAGGAGGCGGAGGTTGCGGTGAGCCGAGATCGCGCCATTGCACTCCAGCCTGGGTAACAAGAGCAAAACTCCGACTCAAAAAAAAAAAAAAAAAAAAAAAAAAAAAATACAAAAAATTAGCCAGGCGTGGTGGTGGGTGCCTGTAATCCCAGCTACTCGGGAGGCAGAGGCTGCCACGAGCTGAGCTCAAATCGTGCCACTGCATGCTCCAGCCTGGGCAACAAGAGCAAAACTCCATGTCAAAAACAAAAAAAAGAAATGATCCCTGCTAAATTCTTACTAAAAGCCAAGGATATTTTGAGTAGTAAGTCCTGAACTTCAGTTTTAAATGAATATCACATAAAAAATCATTTAAACTTGGCCGGGCGTGATGGCTCATGCCTGTAATCCCAGCACTTTGGGAGGCTGAGGCGGGCGGATCACCTGAGGCTGAGAGTTTGAGATCAGCCTGACCAACATGGAGAAACCCCATCTCCACTAAAAACACAAAATTAGCCGGGCGTGGTGGTGCATGCCTATAATCCCAGCTACTGAGGAGGCTGAGGCAGGACAATCACTTGAACCCAGGAGGCGGAGGCTGTGGTGAGCCAAGATCATGCCACCTCACTCTAGCTTGAGTAACAAGAGCGAAACTCCACCTCAAAACAAACAAACCAATCTTTTAAACTTTATGTTAAGCAGTTTCCCCAACCATTAAAAAAAAAAAGAAATTTCAGATCATGGGTAACTGAAACCCCAGTAGAAAGAAACTAAGTCTCCTGCTGTGGACCAGTCTCTCATTCTGAATCTGCTCAGTCAGGCTTTCTAGCTGAAATACAGTCAGTCACAAGAACAGTAAAAACACATCAATGTTTCAAAATTAAATTGTAACTTAAGCTCTTGCAGCCTAACTACAAGATTTAACCTTTCAAACCACATGCACACTTTTTTTTTTGAAATGGAGTTTCACTCGTTGCCCCGGCTGGAGTGCAATGGTGCGATCTCAGCTCACCGCAACCTCCACCTCCCTGGTTCAAGCAATTCTCCTGCCTCAGCCTCCCAAGTAGCTGGGATTACAGTCATGCGCCACCACACCCAGCTAATTTTTCTATTTTTAGTATAGATGAGGTTTCTCCATATTAGTTAGACTGGTCTCGGACTCCCGACCTCAGGTGATCTGCCCACCTCGGTCTCCCAAGGTGCTGGGATTATAGGCGTGAGCCACAGCGCCTGGCCCATGCACACTTTTAAACAGCTTTGTTTTTTGTTTTTTGTTTTTTTTGAGACAGAGTTTCGCTCCTGTTACCCAGGCTGGAGTGCAACGGCGTGATCTCGGCTCACTGCAACCTCCGCCTCCTGGGTTCAGGCAATTCTCCTGCCTCAGCCTCCTGAGTAGCTGGGATTACAGGCACGCGCCACCATGCCCAGCTAATTTTTTGTATTTTTAGTACAGACTGGGTTTCACCATGTTGATCAGGATGGTCTTGATCTCTTGATCTCGTGATCCACCCGCCTCAGCCTCCCAAGGTGCTGGGATTACAGGCGTGAGCCACCGCGCCCAGCCCTTAAACAGTTAATGTATTACAAAACACATTAGGAAGAAAAAGCTGTTAAAAATGCTACCATTTTTTTCCACTTTTTAAGCAGTGATCCTCCACTGCCAGAATAAAGCACTTTTTCAAGAAAACAGGCCCACTACACAGGAAACCTAAATTATATTATGCTTATCACCGTAAGACCTAACAATGAGAACAATACCAATTACGGCAGTCAAAGCTTCAAAGTGTTATGGAATACAGTCCTTCCAGAAATAAGCACTATCAGTCATAAACAGGACTGAAGTATCTATACATGTCAAAACACAGATGAACCTTTAACATTACATGCTAAGTGAGAGCTGATGCAAAAGGCCCTACATCATGCAATTCCATGTACATGAAATGTTCACAACCGGCAAATCTATAGGGACAGAAAGTGGATTAGTAGTTGCCGGGGACTGGAGAGAGAAAAGAATGGGGACGAGCTTCTAATGAGGACAGGGCTCCCTTTTGGGGTGAGAGTGAACATCCAGGAGACAGTGGTGGTGGACGCAGAGCCTTGTGTACACACTGAAGTGTACACCTTAACCTGGTGATTTTAACAGTCTGTGAATTGAATCTTCACGTTCAAAAACCGTAATAGTTAAAAAAAAAACCAAAAAAACAAAAAAACAAACAAAAAAAAAAAACAAGGCTGAGTGCAACGACCCCAACGATGTACTCTGGATCCTAGAGAAGCTGAGTTCTATTCAGTCTCGGGTCGGTGTCCTTTTCCTTGGGTTAAGACCTATTCTTTGAACCAGAAAGGAAGCCAAGTGGTTCCTCAGACCAGCAGAATCAGCTTTCAGAACTTGCCCTGCTCTAGCTGACTTTTAATCCCAATGGCCGAAGCTGAAACGTTCCTCATATTTTAATTGTACTTGGCACCTATACACCTCTTTCCTGCCGCCTGGGTCCTTGACACAGCTCCCTGTCAGGGGGTGAAGAGCAAACAAAGCTAACTCTTAGAGGGGGACACGGAAGATGTGGAAATTCTCCCAGCCTAAAGGGCAGGAAGAGCGCTACACACCAGTTCTCTAAATTCTCTACAAACTCAAGTCCCAAGCAGTGTTTAAGTACAAGTGGATACCTTTAACATATCTCTTTGCTGACTTCCTGCTGGTGGCTTCTAACTCGATGCCCATTTCATCAGGATCTTGCCCCTCTTCTTTGACCGCCTATTAGGGAGAGATGAGTTTTACAACATGATTAAGAGCTGCAGGGCACACACTGTTCCTCACAAGTAACAACTTCCCGTGCAACAAAGGCTTGCGGGCAGTTGCAGAGAGCAACTCTGGGTCAACTGTCTGGGCCGCAAGCCCAAAAGGCGGAGGAGGAATCCCGGACGACTTGGGTCTCTCTGGGTCCAGAGCTCAAAAGACAAAGGAGAGGAAGGCTGTGGGCACGAGCTCCAGAACTGGGGTCAAGGACCAGTTCCCAAATGGCAACTCATCTGGCCCCTGCCCAACTTTCGACTTTGAAGTTTTACAACGGGACCCATTAGAACAGAGAGGCTGCACTTGGCCCGGGCTCGGTGAAGAGCTGGCCACCCAGCCTGGGGAGACTCAACAGGTCCCTCGGCGCCTGCCACCTGCCTGGCGCAG